CTGTTGATTACTTTGTGTAAAGAAATAACTGATGGGACTGGGTGTGTGGAATTGCACCAGTGAATATCTGTCTGCTCTGATTGGGATCAGCTGCTCATTCAAATTTTACAGTGGTTGATCACTCTAAACAGTTTTCTTTATTTAAAGTGCTCCCAATAGAAATAGAGAAATCTTTTAACAGTGCTTAGCTGGGACTGAACTTTTCCTGGGATCAGCTCTGGATTGGGTTCCAGGCTGTTTCAATTTTGCTTCCTCCTCTGTTAGGATTAAATGGAATCAAGCTCCTTTCTGTAACATACCTAATGTTTAAGGAAGTGAATTCCATGTCTGACATTGAAGCGAGGGTTTATCGAGAGAGCAGAGAGCCCAAATGGTGTGAAGTGAGAACAGAGTGAAGGAATTTGATGAGAGTAGGAACTCCTTGTTTTTTACCAACTGAAATTTAAATGGAACAGTAACAAGTCAGTTGGCGGGTAACTGGTATTAAGTGTTAATTGTTAGCTGACCAATTGAAACTGGTTCTGTCTGAGGAGTATATAGTGTGGAGATTTGCGAGAGCCTCACTTGAGCAGAGAGCCCAACAAAACTAAAGTATGATAAGTCTAACTCCATTGGTGGGAGATAAGGAAACTAGTAATGCTAATGAAGTAAAAGGGAGAGACAACGAACAAATGGAACTCCACTTGCATTAAAGCAAGAAGTCTGGCCAACAAGATGTGCGACCTAGAAGGTCTTGCAAGAGGTGACAAGTTGGACATCATTAGCATCACAGAGACATGGTGGAATGATTCCAATCATTGGAATGCAAATCTGGAAGGATTCACATTGTTTTGGAGGGACTCTATCGAGAGAAGAGGAGGTGGTGTGGCAGTATATATAAACTGCAGTATTGAGGCACAAATGAGAGGATAGAAAAAAGGAAAGGGCAGTCACAGAATCACTTTGGGTAGAATTAATAGATTAATAATCTTTACGGAAAACGATAAAGTCCTGGGGATCCTGATTAATAATAAATTGAAGCTATCGCAACAGTGCTCGCTAGCAGTGCGTAAGGCAAACCAGATCTGGGATGTATTAAAAAGGCAACGTTGGGCCGAATTAGTGGTGTAATAATGCCACTTTAGAAATCATGGTGCGACCGCACTTGGAATATAGTTCTGGTCACTGCAATATAAAAAGGATATTGCAGCGATTGAGAGGATACAGACCAAAGTGATTGAGGGAATAAAAGGACTGGACTACGAAGGAATGATTAGATATACTGGGCACGTTCACACTGGAGAAGAGGAGGTTGAGGGGCATTATAATTACTGTATTTAAGATTCTGAAAGAAATAGATAATATCAAACATGATAAGCTGTTTTATCTTCTACTGAACAGTAGAATCAGAGGACACGGCCTACGATTGAAGGGGGGTAAATTCTGAACAAATTGTGGAAACACGACTTCAATGAGCGAGTTGTAAACTTATGGAACAGGCTCCCTAGGAAGACAGTGGAAGCAGAAAATGTTGTTTTTTTTAAAAACAAATTAGATAGATTTCTGTTTGAAAATAATATCTGGGGATACAACATATAGTTTGGGACACAACATGTCAAGTGTTGGCCAGGTTGGTGAAGGGCAAACCAGGTGGACCTTGGTCTTCTTTTGCCTAGCAAATTCTTATGTTGATCACCACTATAGGCAAATCATTTTTTTTATATAAAAGTGCTATATGCATCACGTGCGGTGGGTGGATCCATGAGATTGATGGCTGAAGGCCTTCTTCATTCGAGTCTCTCTTTGCATCTTGTGAGGAGTACTTTGAAAAGTGTGCCTTGTGGGTTTTCTTCCCCTTTTAATTTTTCCTCTTCTCTCCCTGCCTTCCCCCCCAACCCACTTGATTTTTAACTACTTAAAATCTGAGTGGGTGAGTGAGGAGTGAAATTTAGAGTTGTCCATTCAGTGAACCTGTGGTCAATTAGTGACAGAATTTAAACCTGTGATTGGACAATTCTGTCTATATCTACTTGAGGATGGAAAACCGATAAAAATATTCGGAAGCAGCAAGCTATTTTTAGCTGGTGGCATTTAAACTGGAATGAATGCCTGGTTGCTTAATGAGTCATTGGGAGGAAACTGGTCTCTTTCAGTTTACAGAAACGTAATGACATGATGGATAAACAGCCCTCAGCAATAACAGGATAATGAATGAAGGTCAGAATTGTTTGAGACCTTAATTTTTTTTTAAAAATTAAGTGTTATCACAATTAATTTTTAAGGACTGTCCAAGGCTGTAGTGAAGTTGACTATATGAATTTTGTTTTGACTTACATTATAATCTTCCTTATTTTTATCTTAAAATGTCATCTTTGCTTTTGGCAGAATGAATCAAATTAGAAATGGCGTCTGCAATTTTACTGCTTATGCTAGTCAGAGCGTAACTGATCTTGCCTTTTCATTGTATCATTGTATCGTTATAACATATTTCATGGACTGATATTTACTTAGCAAAAAAAATCTAAATTGAAAATGTGCTCACTGGCTTCTTCAAATCACCAGCTGACATGTGGGAACCCAAAATACTCGACTTCTGGGTCAGGAGGTTGCTGCCACTATGACTTCCTCAGTGCTTGTATCAGTCTGATCAGCAAATCATATTGTATCAATGTGTGGTATAAGTAGCTTATTCGGCTTCTAAGCCAGGCGGGTCCTCAGTATTTCAGGACACTGCGGATGATAGCACAGCCAGCCTGGCTCATCGGCAGGACTTGGAAAGGCAGAACAGTCACTGGGAGCAGAGAATCATCCCACTCAGCTTCTATTAACCCTGAGAGCCAAAGCCATACCGAGTCGGGTGGTCCAACCTGGACAAGTAGCAGGAAAGCTTGCCGGGAGACAGTGCTCTCAATGGCAAGCTCTGCGATTTTAGCTGGTCAGTCTCCAGCAGTACCGCAACACCCTCTGGTTCCCCGAGTCTTGGCTCTTGCCAATCTGTGCCAAATACTTTTCGGAATTAGGTAAGTAGGATGAGTGCCTCCAGGGACAATCTGTCTCTTGAATTTCCATGTGTAGGTGGGATGCATGGAAAGTTTGGTTTGGATACTCCTAAGCATGGTGACGGGTTTCTGCAAATGTCAGAAACCCGTCTGCCCAAAAAAACATAAGTAATAATAATAATCCTTAATAATCCTTGCATTTGATATAGCGCTTTTCACGTCGGGAGACGTCCCAAAGCGCTTCACAGAATATACTGTAAAGTGAATTGACTGTATATTTGTGGGCGAACGCGTCAGCCAATTGCGCACAGCAATGTCCCACAAACAGTCGTGGATTGAAAATGACCAATTTATTATTGTTTTTGGTTTTGGAGGGATTATTATTAGGCTCTGTGTGGAGTTAGGAAACTTGCCCAAGGTTTCGCCCTCTGCCTGGAATTGAACTCAGGTCTCTCGCTTGCAAAGCGAGTGCTCTAACCACTGAGCTACAGGAGTCATTGATAGAAAGGTAAAAGTTTGACTAATACAGAATTCTTGGAGAAGACTACAGTTAGTTGAAGATACTATTTTTCTGTAGGGCTAGACTTGATTACAGTGTGTGGTTGAGGACAGGCCTATGCCTATGTGGAACATATCCCAGAACCTTCAGCCTATGAATGATGGCCCAGAGAGATACATAAAGCATGTCTTCTGTGGACTACAAGTAAGGGAGAAGTGGACTGCAAGTGGTTGCAAGTCTATCTTCTGAGTACCACAGATGAAAGTGAAAAGAGAATAGTTATTATATTGATTTGAAAAGTTTATTGTGGTCAGTGATTTACTGATGAGCCCTAGCCTCTTTTTCTTCCCAGAATTTTAAGTAAAAGCTGCTGAGAATAAATGAATGAGCAGTCAAAGTTTAACTTGCTTAGTGGTTAGAGCACTCGTCTTACAAACGAGAGGATCTGAATTTGATTCCCGGGCAGGGCAAAATGTTGGTCAAGTTTTCTTACTCCACGCACCTCTGTTTACCGAGCAGTAAGTAGGAACAGTTGTTAGTCAATATAGCGGATCGTTTTTCCAGAGGTAATAATCCCTTCAAATAAATAAATAATGATTTGGTCACTCAATCCACGACTGTTTGAGGCACACCGCGTCTCAATTGTCTGCCGAGTTTTGCCCACAAAATATATGGTCAATTCACTTTATATATTTTGTGAAGCTCTTTGAGAAGTTTCGAAGACGTGATAAGGCGCCATATCAAATGCAAGGATTATTATTATAACTTAGTAAGTCAATTTGGTTAGTTAATCTTTCATACAATACCTTGTGGTTAACCAGTACTGTGTCAAAATAAAAAAAGATGCCCATTGAAAATGCTGCACATTGTATTGGGCAAAAAGATGTTAGATACCTGTATGAGAAATTATAATAATAATACTATTATTATTTTATTCTAGATATTTAACAGTCATGTTGTACCACTTATCTAAATTTTCAAATTAAATTAATCCGTACAGTTGTACAGATTGCTGTGTTCTAAGCACCTAATGAGGATGAATTTATCATCTCATGATGAAGATTCATGAGAATCTGACCTTATAAGATCATGGTCATCACTTTCAAAGCCCTCCATGGCCTTGTTCTCCCCTACCTCTGCGACCTCCTAATCCCCTACCAACCTGCCCGATCCCTCTGCTCAGTGGGCTCCAGTCTGCTTCATGTCTCCCGCCTCGCTCGCCCCACCATTGGCAGGCGGGCCTTTAGCCACTCCGGCCCCACCCTCTGGAACCCCACACCGCAATCCCTCCACCTCGCCCCCTCCCTTGCGTCCTTCAAGACCCGTCTCAAGACCCCCCTCTGCCACCCTCCCCGATCCCAACCTCCAGCTCCGGTCCGAAACACTGATTGTTCAGCGCCTTGGGATGTCCAACTGATGTGAACAGCACTAGACAAATGTAATTTTGTTGTTATTGTTGTCTTGCTTACAGTTGTAAAGCTGAACCATTGCTATATCTGACTTTCTCTTGCATTTCCTTGCAGGTTTGCTGAACTTGTGAAGAAGTTCAAAGTGGAGTATCACGCTGGTGGCTCTACCCAGAATTCAGTCAAGGTGGCTCAGGTTTGTGTTTATTTAACCCGTACTCTTTAACAGTAGGTAGTGCTTTGAAACAATTTTGTTACAATGTCAGTTACATTTACAAAAAAACTTCCAAGTGGAAGATATTTACAATAGCTTATTTATCCAGAAATATAACTTACTGTACTTGTCAATACATGGAAATTGTCTTCAACACATAATTTAGATTACGAAGTTGATACTAATATGCCAATTTGCTAAGAATCATATTTTAGATTTATCACTGGCAAATATAAACATTTATATGTTTTGCTTAAATGTTTAGGAATTGTAAACCTCAGCAGTTTAATCATGTATAATGCTTTGCAATCTACATCTTTATTTTCCCAAATAAAATCTATTTCATGTTTACTTAAACATGTTTACAGCATTTGATTTGATTGTTTTGTCTGCTACCTAGAGGGCTTATTCATCAATCATAGTTTGCTTTTATAACTTTATTTTTTTAATGTACTAAATACAACTGTTTCCTCCAAATTGTATTATAGCCTTAAAATTGTACTATTTTGTGCTTAGTTAATTGGACTAGGATGGATGTCGCATGTTCCTGTGGTTTGAGGGGGTTGGTGGGGTTGCCTGTAGAGATGCATTTATATGCAATACAATTTACATTTATGGAGCACATTTCATGTTGGGAGGACAGCTCAAGGCATTTTACAATGCTCCCGAGTTGGGAATGGGAATGAGAAGGGGAAGAATGACTGAAAGATGCATGTCTTGAGACTGAGTTTGAACGAGGGGAGGGAGGGAGTGAATCGGATGGAGTTAAGACCATACGTTCCAGAGACTGGGGACAGAATGACTGAATGCCTGCCTGTAGATGGCGTAGTGGGTAGGGCGGAGAAAGTGAAGCAGGCTGGTATTCATTGAGCAAAGGGAATGACCAGGTTAATAAATAATAATAATAATCCTTGCATTTGATATAGCGCTTTTCACGTCGGGAGGACGTCCCAAAGCGCTTCACAGAACACACTGTAAAGTGAATTGACTGTATAATTGTGGGCGAACGCAGCAGCCAGTTGCGCACAGCAATGTCCCACAAACAGTCGTAGATTGAAAATGACCAATTTATTATTGTTTTTTGTTTTGGAGGGATTATTATTAGGCTCTGTGTGGAGTAAGGAAACTTGCCCAAGGTTTCGCCCTGTGCCTGGAATTGAACTCAGGTCTCTCGCTTGCAAAGCGAGTGCTCTAACCACTGAGCTGCAGGACTCCAAATGTTGGTAGGGTCAGCAGATATACAAGCAGACATTGGGTGAGGAACAGGTTTGGGCTTGTCTGTAATTTTTCTCTTCTCTTTCTCCTCCTTCCCCCCCCCCTCCCCCCCCGCCCCCACCAACTATTTGCAGTCAAAATAGTTTGATGAACCATCTAGGCATGGTATTGGAAGGTGGCCAGGATTCATAGGACCATACCCCAGCATGAATCTGTGCCTTGAGGAAGAGGATAGTGGGAGAAAATGTTTGTTTATACATGTGTGAACAGTGGTGGTGGGGGTGGGGGAAGGTTTGGCGGCCGTGAATAGGAGGAAAACCGATCCAAACCTTAGGTTTAGCTCTCCTCTTGTTCTGTCACAATACATTGTCATTGCTGTCTCGCAGTTCAATTAAACCTGCAGCTGCACCCATAATTGTGTCCAAATTGCACGAATTCTTGCCAGATAAAATTGTTTTGTTTTAATGAGAAAGCTGTTTGCCAGATATATAATATTCCCAACTGGCCTTTCTTTCGAAAAATTCAGAAATGGCAAGTAATAAAACTAGTCTTTCTGTTCCTGCTGGTTACATTTTGCACAAAGAAAACTGAACTATTCCAGCCAAAATATGTGAAATTGTTTCCTATAATATGTTAGGTTTTGGGAAATCGACAGAACTTGTCAGTTACAAGCGTCAATTAACGATCTCTGAGAGAAAAATTTAAACCAGCCCAGGTGGTTAGTTATGGTTGTCTGTCTGTGAAATCAAACCGTTTGAAGAACATGTTTGTGGTTTGGAAAAAATAATGAGATTAAACTTTTCTCAGTGCTGTTCAATGCAGACAAAAAGCGTGTGGGAAAGAGGGTGGAAGAGAAAGGAAGCTAGCTTTCTGCAGACATGTTCAGCTTTCTGGTAACCCACTGCATAACTAATGTTTGCTTCAGCCACATCTAGACAGCAGATGGTGCAGCACTGGCTGATGAAAGCACTGCATTAAAATCAACGCAAGCGGGATTTCTGGTGTTGAATTGAAGCAATCGGAAACTCAAGTGCCTTTTTATTCAAAATTCCATGGATGGTAAACTGATATTATTGAAAGGAGCAGTATGCTATTTCTCTTTAAATTTAGATGAGTGTAATGTACAGTCATTTCTCCAGCGTTATTGTCTTTTGAAAAATAATTTTGTATTGTGCACTGCAGCTCGTCCTGCCTCCCTCCAGATTACCTGGAGTGGCAAACACGATGATGGGCCCACTATATCCGTCGCTATAATCCACATTTTTGGGGGACAAAGCCTTGCTCTGCCCATGTTCAAAAATGTTAAGCCTGGAGTGACAGTTTAAGAAAAATCATCTAACTTGATGAAGGCTTTACAATATATCGATTGCCATTGATGGCAGTTCGCATACTACCTTTTTTTAAAAAACACTTTGCTCATCTTCCATTAGCACAAACTGCCTATTGCATCTCGTACCCAATATTCTTTGTTGCCAAAAATGATTATCTCCTGCTTATTCTTAGCTTACTGTATAAAGAATCTCTAAATATCATTCATCTTGTAACCAGTGCTTTAATAGTGAACGAAGAAATAGGTAAATAGGTACTTGTGATTTGCAGCTACAAAGGAACTATTCTCGGGTGCGGGGGTGTAAGCGGAGTTTACCTCCAAGTCGAATGCTTGGCAACAGAATGTCGGAATCAATTCAGTTCTCTGTGGCGGTCTTGGCAGTACTTGGTTTCTGAGCCAGGCAGGTCCACAGTACTCCAGGGCACTGATGATGACAGATCAGGTAGTCTGGCTCGTCGACAGGATGGGTAGACTGGTCACGGGGAGGGAGTCCTCCCACTTCGCTCCTATTAACCCTCAAAGTCAAAGCTCTAATGAGCAGGGTGGTCCGAGCTGGGCAAGTAGTCGTAAGCTTGCCAGACAGTGTTTTCAATAGCAAGCTATGTGGTTTTAACTGATTAGACTCCAGCAGGACCACAACCATCCATCCTCTGGGTCCCCCAACATTGGCTCTTGTCAATCTGTACTTATTACTTTCCTGAATTACGTAAGCTGAGTTTGTCCCTCAAGAGAGAGTGCACGTTCCATTCCAGATATAGGGACATTTTCTATGTGTAGCATAAATATATGGAACTCAGTTAGTTAGTTAGTCAGTCAGTCAGTCAGTCAGTCAGTTAGTTTGGATATGCTTAAACATGTTTCGGGCACCTTGCTGACCAAATAAAGGAATGTTTAGTTGCTTTTGACTTTTAAAATGTCATTCTTCATTTCTTATGTTGCTGTCACTTTAATACTCTAAAGTACAAGGTAACTAAGCACAGATATTTTACTATGCTCAGTTTCTTGGTCTTCTTTTGAAAAATTGTACTGTAATATGATATTGTAGCCAATTTTTACATCAGTTGCTTCTGAGAACAGCCTGCTTGATCACTCCTTCAACTTCAACGTCATGTATATTATGGCAATTTTGGAGCCATAGTTTGACATTGTTATAATTTTATTGAATGTTTTAAAAACAAACCAAGCAAACAGTATAGCTTCTCTTTGTTCACCCTTCAAAGTTAAACACAAGAACAAGCCTCTCAAAAGCTGAAATTGGGTGTTTTGAGACATGAAAAGCATTGTAGCAGATTATCTTGAAGTGCAGAGCATATAATAGTGAGGCATTTCTTTCATTTAAACTGGTTCGTGGCTGGTTCAAATGTTAATTTATTTCTGAGGTTAACTAATCGGTGTTTTCCTGATGAATATTATTATCAGTCAGGGAAATGGATATATAAATAAAGGAAGATCTTGAGCCAAAATCACTGGATAGCAACAACAATTTGCATTTATGTAGCATCCCAGAGCGCATTGATAACTTGATAGGTGAGTTAATGGGAATCTATAATGTTACCCACATCTATTTCTTTTTTGAATCTGTAAAACCAGGAACATACACTTATCATTATTAATAATTCTTGCATTTGATATGGCACGTTTCCACTACAGGATACTGGCTTGGCGGGGTGGGGGAGGAGGGGTGTGGTTTCGGGCTGGGCAGAAGAGAGAGTAAGAGATCCACCATCCATACATATGTTAGAGCACTCGCCTTGCAAGCGAGACACCTGAGTTCAATTCCAAGCAGGGCGAAACCTTGGGCAAGTTTCCTTACTCCACACGCCTAATAATTAATCCCTCCAAAAAAACAAAACAATAATAAATTGGTCATTTTCAATCCACGACTGTTTGTGGGACATTGCTGTGCGCAATTGGCTGCCGCGTTTCGCCCACAAATTTACAGTCAATTCACTTTGCAGCATATCCTGTGAAGCGCTTTGAGACGTCTAGAAGACGTGAAAAGCGCTATATCAAATGCAAGGATTATTATGTGGCCATTTAATGAGCTAAATGGTAAACAGACTGTTAAAATGATCCCTGTGTATTTTCTTTCTAAAATTTTCATACATTAAACTCTTTTAAACTGCTACTTTGCTGTCAGGTCAGATACATTAGTCCTGGCCTTAAGTCGACATCCATTTCAAGTGTTTTAAATAGACTTTTTTCATCAGGCACATGGTTAATTTTGTGAAAACATCTGGATATTTAACCTGGTTAACATGAAGCTTATTGAGTTGTCAATTAACTTGATAAGTAACTTCCTCCAATCAGCCTTGTGCTGTGAATTGTGGGTGTCAGTGACGGTCTATTAAACTGCACTTGAGCAGTTAGCATCTTTGCATTTTGTTCTTTTATCAGTTTGTCAGCAAATTTAGTATTGTACTGTACTTTCACTTCA